GGGGTTTGGGTTTAGGGGTTCGGGGTCTAGGGGTTAAGGGGTTTAGGGGTTTGCGGTTTACGGGTTTAGGGGTTTAGGGGTTTAGGGGTTTAGCGGTTTAGGGGTTTAGGGGTTTAGGGGTTTAGGGGTTATAGGGGTTTGGGTTCAGGGTTTAGGGGTTTGGGTTTAGGGTTTCGGGATTTAGGGGTTTAGGGGTTTGGGTTTAGGGTCTATGGTTTAGGGTTCTACACGACCGCAGTCAGGGTGCTGCTGAGGCTTTTTTTACTGTCCCCTTATTTCCCTGATTAACTCGTTTGAATATGATCCTTCGGTACTTTTTCTTGTTTTCTGGGTCTCTTCAAGGAAATAGCTGGGAAGTAGATGCCCAAAGCATACGACAAAGAACTCTCAGAGTGTAAAGTCGTTTTTTTGACTGATCTCAACCCTTAACCCTTGTTTCTAAATTAGCGTCCGTTTTCAGGTCCCCAATCTAGTACGGCACCCTTCTAAAAGGACCCCAAAGGGACTCCCTAAACCCTAAACCCTAAACCCAAACCCTAAACCCTAAAGGGACTCTAATTTAGAGAACTACGCATCGACTCTATTAAATCCCATCCTGAGCTTCCCGCCGCAGGGGAGGGAGGGATTAGCATGTATTTAGGGTTTAGGGTGTAGGGTTTAGGGTTTAGGGTTTAGGGTTTATAGGCTTTAGGGTTTAGGGTGTAGGCTTTAGGTTTAGGGTTGAAGAAAGGGGCCTAAAGAATTACCAATATTATTTTGGGGGTTCCTTATTATAATTATAGTGTAATATACCACAAAATCCTATTTTGATTTTCAAATCCCCGACATTAGGGTGTAGGCTTTAGGTTTAGGGTTTAGGAAGTTTCAGAAACTCAGGAGCCCTAATGTGGAGCCCGAATGGACGGATCCAGTACTACTCCTCATTCGGAGAACACGTATACGCATGCATAGACCGTGAACTCTATGCCTTAGGTGGGCCACACGCAGTTTGAGTTTTAGGTTCGTTGCGTTTCAGGTTTGAGATTTGGGGTTTAGGGCATGGGGCATTGAGGTTGGGGTGTTTTTCTCCCCAGCAATCTTAGCACCGAGCAAACACCAGCAGTCTTGGAACCGAAAGAACCGCGAGCCCCGAGCCTTCGAAGGAGCCACAGCCTGCAATCGTAATCCTAAGCAAACCGTGGACCTCAAACCCCAGGGCTCGAATACGGAGTCGTAAGACTTGGGACAGGGTTTTGGGGCATGTTATACTAGATTTATAGTAGGGAACCCCCCCAAAATAGTATTGGTAGTTGCTAGGGCCCCTATATCAACCCTAAATGCTAAGCAAGCTGCAACAAGTAAATGGGAACACCAAGGAGTAGTGTAACGAATGCATGTGCTTAGAACCTAAGCCGCCCTTTTAAATCAAACGCCCACCCCTAAACCCTAAACCCCTAAACCCTAAACCCTAAACCCCCGAAGCCCAAAACCCTAAACCCCAAACAAAACCCTTCTGAAGCGAGGCCAAAGCGCTCTTCCAGTTCATCGCCTCCCATGGCGCCGACCCGTCACGCAAGCGGCTGTTTGCAGGCCCTAAACCCTAAACCCTAAACGCTTCTGGCGCGGGGGGTTTAGGAGGTAGGGCTGCAGCCTTTTACCAGGGGTTTGAGCTTAAGGGTTTAAGGGTCTAGGGTTTAGGACTGATCTCTTTTTATAAGGGATAATTCATTAACGTTTAGGGTGAGCATTTAGAGATGCTGGGTTTAGGGTTCAGGGTTTAGGGTTTAGGGTTTAGCGATAATCAACGTTTAGGGTGAGCATTTAGAGATGCCGGGCCTAGAAGCTTTTCCCGAAAACTGTGGACCGATCGCGAGGCTTTCGTGCCCGGGCTGCGCAGAAGCGGCAGCACCCTTCTTTCCAGGAGGCAAGCATTAGGAGGGACTTTCAGTGCTCTTACTTTGCTAGCAGATTGTGTAGATGAGGTAAGGCCACCCATCCACTAACAGTGACCTGAAGGGAATGTGTAATTATATAGAAGATCTTTCATAGTCCTATGATGCCACTTTTACTGTGGGGCCCACCCTAAACCCTAAAACCCTAAAGCCCTAAACCCCAAACGCCAAACCCTAAACCCTTAACCC